CTGTTCCCTTCCCACCAAAGTGGTACCTATTTATCTCCTTGCCATTTCTTGCTTTCGAACTGCTAGGTTGGCAGGAGCTGGAACCAGAGACGGGAGCTCACTCCGTCATGCGGCACACTCGGGTCTCGAACTGCTGGACTACTGACCTTCCACAGCCTGCAATTCAGCGTCTTAACCACTTGAGCCACCGCAGCTCCTTTTTTAGAAGTTATTACAACTGACAATTTTATTAAAATTGTTTTAGAAGAATTAGAACCATTTAGAAGAATTTGTCTAAAGTACAAACTGGAAGTGTTTCATAATTTAAATTATTTTAAAGAACACACCAAATCTCACAATGACTATAGGTACCCTTACTCTTTTGAGATGATGGTTTTGGTGATCACCACATTGTTTAAATAAAATCATGGCAACTTTGATTTAGACAGAATTGTACACCTTTTTTAATAGCTAGGAGAAATGAAGGTTTCAGAATGTGAAGGAACAGGCTGATAAACTCTTGTTCCTTCTGCTTGGACCCAGGCCCATAGCTACCACAGGGCCCATGGGGCCCGGCCCCCTATTGGTTTTTATGGGCCTCTCTCCCTGAGCCTTGGCTCCCCCTCCCCCGATTGCCTGTTTGTAGGGAGGACGAGGGCAGCACAAGCAGCAGAGGCTGTGAGGCTGGGCTGAGAGATGCTTGCTGCCCGGCCCACCAGTAGCAAGTAAGCCCAGCCAGGCAAGACAAAGAGGCCAGCAGGCATGCCAATATGCCCACATGCCACAGCTTCATAGCCAGCCCAGCCACTGCACGGCCCTGGGAAGAAGCTGAGGGTGGAGGTCAGGCCGCTCCTGGTGCGGTGATGCCAGAAGGAGCACTGGGGGTCCTGGCGGGGGGAGCCAGACGCTCTACAAGGAAGGGCTGCCCTTGCTGGGGAGGAGGGAAGCTCCACCTAATTTAATTAGCTGGCAGGGGCCCCCCACACAAAAAATCCCTAGCTACGGGGCTGCTTGGCCCCCAGGAGGTTGTGTGCTTTGTGCCGGGAACTTGATGACTCCCTTCAGCCAACTATACTAGCCTACAGCTGGGCAGCTGTACATGGACAGAGAACAGTCACAATAATTTAGGAAGAAGAGATTGGATTTATACCCTTACCTTCACTCAGTGTGCCTCCTTTCCCTTCTCCCTACAACAGACACTCTGTGAGGTAAGTGGGGCTGAGAGAGCTCTCAAGAAATGCTCTTTCAAGGACAGCTCTGACAGAACTATGGCTTGCCCAAGGTCATCCAGCAGCTGCAAGTGGAGGAGTGGGGAATCAAACCAGGTTCTCCCAGACTGAAATATTGAGATGAATTCTTGGGTGGAGGGAATTTCTCCACACAGAGCATGCACCTTTTTAAAAAAATCAAGAATAGACACAGATAAAAAAGTAGGTTGCAACTCTCACAGGGGAGTCTTGAGGCCAAGAGAGGAGAGGAAGAAGAATGCAGTGAGCTGAGGGAGAAGACTCGAGGAAACTTGATGGTAAATTTGTGTTTACTTTTGTGCAATGTACTAAAGTATCATGACAAAATATATAGGTATGGTTAACGTTATCTGATGTTAAGTTCCTGTGTTTTAAAGTGGGGAGAAGGAAGGTACCATGGAGTTACTTTACAAGGGGGTGCCAAAAAGTAGGATGTATTTAGAAGTGGGTTCCACTTTAGAATGTTTGAGAGGCACTGGATTAAGTGAAGTGCTTTTTAAAATTTAGGCAGATTTAAAATGGCTTGGGTTTGTTTATTTGGCATTCAAAGCTGCCTAAAAGTATATACTCAAACACATTATATGAACCAAACTGTCATTTTTCTTTACAGGCTTGAGTTCATAAAATTACAGTTGGTGGGATTAAAATTATCAAAATGCACTGTTATATTTGCATTTGGTTACCATTTACTTTGGGACTTTGAAGGCGAAATTAACACAACCCTACTGATTAGGAGTGTCGGACTAAGGCAAGCTAGGATTCCATCCTACATTTTTGTCAGTACAAAGAGTATGCCTGTGTCACTGGAATGCTGTATTGACTAAACACACCACCCTTAGTTGTGTACAGTAGAAAGATCCAGCCCCCAGACTCAAATCCACACACTTCCATGAATCTTATTTATTGACCATGTCCACCCTACTTCATGATAATAAGGGGGTGGGGTGGTTCACCATCCCAAGATCCTTGGAAGAAGTGCGGGGATAAAATAATCCAACAAACAGAGCAGTGTCAGTGCTGAAAGTCTCTTTTCCCAAGTCTGTGGGAGAGTGGTATCTATACATCATTAGGGTATCAGTGGAACTCAGGAGAGGCAGCATAATCTGACAACCATGTGTATTCATTTTCCTTTCACTAGTCTAAATCAAAAATCAAAACAGCTAATTTAAAGTGTTAAAAGTTTTGTTAAGTTGCATGAGAGAGAAAAAATTGTGCTAGAAGAAAAAACAGTGAATCAAATAAATTACCCAGGCAAATTTCTTTATTGAGAACAAATCTGTGCTAACTCATACTGAGCTCTGGCCCAGAAAGAATGGTTTTTTTTAAATATATATATGTTGACCTTTTCCATACAACAAACTTTCCTGTGGAAGCCCCAGTGTTGCTGTGCTTTACAATGCAGTGCGGCTGCAGTTTCCCCATGGAGGCCATTCTACCCCATGCCACAGATCAGGGGCTTTCTCAAGGTTCTTAAAAATCTTTTACTGACTTATTGATATGTTATCAATTCTTTGTAGACTTTTAGAAACTGGAAAACCCAGACTTTCCTGTCCACATGGCATCCTTCCTGGTTTTTTACCAGTGGCATCCACACGGAACCCAAACACATCTGTGTTAAGTGATGGTTGTTTCTACCTGATCCAAGGGCCAGCTTAATAGAAAACCCTCCTCCCTCAAGTTCTCTGGCTCTGCAAGAGATCAGGGAAGGGTGGGAGAGAATGCAGCCATGCTGTTGTTTTCTTCTTTAAAAGCTAAATGACTGTAACCCTTAACATAATTTGGCCTGCCCCAGTTTCTCCACCCATCACCATGAGTCCTCTGTGCATGCTACATGATTCTAGGGAGGGGATAAATTGGTGGCTGACAACCTAAATAAGCAATTTCAAATTTTTATGCTATATAATTAAATACTAATAAGAAACCACACCACTAAGGATTATTTTGTAACAAAGACTTGAGAAGTCACAATTACTTGATACACACATTTGTTAATATCTTTGAAAGTTTATTTGCTGTATAAATTCAGTTTCTTTTGAAGACTACAAAACCTGCCTTTTGACAAGGATACAAGCAATGGTATCTTTCCTGGCCTGTTTGTGGCTATGTCTGAACACTTCTGATTACACATGTACAATATTTTAGAAACATTCAAAGTTCTCTCTCTGTCTCAATGAAACAGTCAAAAGTATTCAGTACTATTTAGGCTTTTTACTAGCATTTCCATTCCATTATGCTAATAGAAGCATCTGACAGATGCTTTTTTAAAAAAGTCTACCCTAAAGGTACAATACAGTTGAACTTTTGTTACTGTACCTTAGACTTACATGCCATGCTGAGAAAGTCAATATAAAGAATGATTGTACAGAACTGTAGAAAAATATTTTCTGATATATTTAAAAAATCTCTTAAGTAGATCCCCCAACCCAACCCCCCTTTACTAAAACTGCAAAATAATTACATCCCTCATGAGTGCACTGTCCCTTTGATTAGGTCTGAAATATCAAGATAAAGCTAATCATATACATCATTTTCATGAGTTAAAAGCCGTTCATTACTGCTTGCCAGGGATTTACATGCCTTAAAGCCCTCTTTTCTATTATCAGAAAAGCAGCACATTAGTCCATCTACTACATTTACAACAACAAAAGTCTAAATACATTTCCTTATGCCCTGATTATGTATTTAAAATCAAGTTTAAATACTTCACTTGTTTACTTACTAGACAGCTAATCTAACAAGGCATACGATAA